AAAGGTTGTTTCTTATGTAAATTTTCAAGCTATTGACGATTTTTGAAAAAGCGAACGTTTGTTTTGATCTTTCTGATCGTGCTACGTTACACCAAGGTATGATCCACTATTGGATAATTTTCACGTGATCGAAAAATTTTGTTAGTAATTTGGTGGCGATGCTGGGGAAGTTCCGCTTTAGACGACCCCTATATTTAGTTATGCAAATTAATTTTATCTGCTTGAAAACAATCAATACCATATAAAGTAAATTTAACCAAATATGCATAATGTAAATTGATTTATACAGTTTACGGAAATTTTTGGGCATGCCTCAAGTTTTCTAATTTAAAGGCTTGCAATTTTTTATGCTTCTAAGTATATAGTATTATGCACCAACCCTAGTATAACTGCATATATAAATTTTGTTTTCCTTATCGGCTTATTTGGTTAAGGAAATCCAATCTCCCAAAGTTAGAGCGCGTCTATTATATATAATTTCATATGTCTAATGAGACGCGTCACTAGGAAGATTGGTTCCTTATCAAAATCAGCAGAGGTGCATATATATTATTATGTCGCAGATAAAGCATATCTAAATAAAGCAGATGCTATAGTATATGTATTTTAAAATATATACAGCTTACATACTATTTAATGTTGTAATAACTTTCACAGCTCATATCTCGATAAATTTGAAGCTATTTGATGATTCAATATTCCAAAGAAAGCTTATAACTTAATCTTTCTTTTGAATATTAAATAATTAAACTAGCTTCAAATTTCATCGAGATATGAGTTGTGAAGATTGAGGTATGGATTTTTTTTAAAATGCCAATCTGCCTGATTTCTATTGACGGCAGCCCAATTAATAAACATTTATGTTTTAATCCGGTAGTGTTAGTATTAGTTCTGGAATACAAACATTCTACTTGATTATAGCAATTTGAAGTGGTATATAGCATTAATCATACTATATGATCTATACTCCAAAAATTACCCTAAAGTATAATACTTCATTAACAGCCAATTAAAAACTGTTGCAAAATTGTCAAAAAAAAAAAACTATATAATATAATATAATTTTAGTACTTTATTCTTTATTTTTACTTCTTCTTCTAACTCTTTGAGCAGCGTTTCCGACACCCTCCCCAGCCTCAAAGTTCATATAAGGTACTTTCTTCCATGGCACACCACAGACACCGGTTGAAATATGATTTGTATGATCCAACATGAAACATGTAGGAAAATCCAATGACCCCTTCACAATAAGACTTGTTTTTTTTACCTCTACATACGAAAGTGGCGTTAGAATATGAAAGGTGTGCGCAGCTGGATCTATAGATCGTATAATAGCAAGTCCCAAAAATGAGTATTCAGAGGGTGCGGGAGGTGGATATTCTGGACATGGGAAATAACGTGGAGGCTGCTATTATTTGGAATACTTCAGTTTTATGCGATTAGGACGTATTAATACATAATTATTGAAGAATACTTGCAATATTTATTTCTTTTTCTTGTGATGTTTTTGACGGTTCGGATTGATCAACTAATTCACGACTTCCGTCCGCATCTAGAATTTCTCCAACCAAACCAACTACTGAACCATTTAATGCATACAAAAGTTGACTCCAAGGAACATCACCAAAGAAAACGAAAACACCTTTTGCAAGTCCTTTTGTCCAGTCCAAGCACCATGGAGAATGATGAATCAATGGCTTATCAAATTGCCACCATTTGGTATTTTCTTGTTTAGATAGCATAGCAGGTGTAGAATAAAAATAAGAAAGCAATGCTAATGTACGATGATCCGTAGCGGTATATTTAGTTGAAATTTTAGATGAATCGATTGCTTCAACCAATACGACTTCGGGTGGGTCTTCGTTCGGGGGAGACAGGACGGAAGTAGGAAGTGGTGGAAGATTTTGATACGAGTTAATTGACGAGTAGAATTGAAATAAATGTGTTGGCTTAGCAAAGCCAAGTATATGAAGAAAAAGATCATATCCCATTCCTGCAAAATTCACATGAATGATCAGTTGACAATCTTACTTTACTTATTCCAATGTTTCTGGTGAATCTGAAATTTTTCGCCAAAGCGGAATTATTTTACGCAAGCATAATATTTCGAATTTTAAAAGTGCAAAATTACTACAATGCAGCGAAGACCACAGCAATCCAATGTAAAGTACCCTCTGTTAAAAACTTTTATATGAAAATCGCTTATACATCAGTGCCTGAAATTCGACTCTTAAATTAATTGCGAACCTGCGGATTATAAACATTTAGTCGCACATATAAGTATTTAATCTAAATTTATAGATAAATCTTGCAAATTATATATTTCAGACTTTAATGTGTAAATTAGTATTTTGCCACGGCTCGAAAACTTTGCAATCTCAATTTCAGGCACTGTAGTATACCAAGTACTATACAAATTTCTTCTATAGAATATATCGTGTCTGGGTACTTTGTTTCGCGCTGTATGACATATTTTGCGGTTTGAACCGAAATTATTTCGATCCAGCGAAACTCATATAATAGTCTGAATACCTTTTATCCATCCATGCGTATTTAAAATCAATGGGACGCGTTGCCTCTCATCATCTACATGCATGCCAAAATCCGGGCCACAAGCGATATCTCGACGATAAACAGTTACCAATTCACGTAAACAACCCAAATAATAATCAGGGTCGTCACAAGGAGTATTGTTGCCCACATAATAAGATCTATAAGGCCGTTGGATGTGAGTAAATGGAGGTCCTATTTACAAATTATTCATTAGAGGAAAGAGGAAATATGAAAAACGAGATAGAAACTAGGGGATCTACATGTGTCTTATTAAAACATAGTGCCAGGCACGGGCATGGCACATTTTAATAGTACGCGTACCGGCACTTGCAAAGCCCTAATAGAGGAGACAAAAAAGTCGAATCACGTACCAAAAATAGGGGAATCCAATATATTGAGAGATACGGAACCTGGTGGAGTAAATTCAGATTGTCCAACGTCACTTTCAATATATGCAACTTTAGGACAGCTGATTTAACAAAAAAAGAAAGGTGCCAAAGTTAAATTGACTGAATATATTTGTGACCGTGTAGATCTCCTAATAACTAATTAACATCATACACATTAAGCAGATTGTTGAGCAAATATCTAGAAAATGTCGATTTTCCAACGTTTCGGTGTCCACAAATAACAGCGATAGGTGGCACATCTAATATAAATTTAGATGATTATTATCAAATTAACCGGCTTAATTTAATGTCCTTAAAAGTACATACTGTAATTAATTACATCATTAGCAAGTTGGTTCGCTGCTTTCAGCCAAGAATTAGAAAGCTGAAGTAAAGTTAACTCAGATATAATTTCAAAAACCTAAGAAATGGCCATTATTATTTAAATAAAATTTGATGATATAACGTCTAGTTGAACATTGTTATACCGGATAAAACCCAGAAATTTTGAATAAATCTCTATTTGTAGAAACTGTTTCATTACTTTGATTAATCCTGGACGAATTTACGCGATCGGCCGTAAATATACCTTTAAAGCACGAAGAAGATATTTTTTCTATTCCTTGAATACCACTCCATGACATGTTTCGAAAAGCTAATATGGTATCAAAGTTTCTTTTGATAAACCCGGATTTTATCAAAAGATCATTAATGGTTTCTTTAACATTTGCCGAAGCTTTAATTCCGCGGTTTGAAAATTTTGCCATATTTTCTCGTTTTTCGACGGATTCTATAGAAACTAAAGCATGAGTTTTTGGCGAATATACTGGATGAAAAATGAGGTCGTCACTATGATTAAGGATCGTTGATTCCTCTGCGAGCTCCGTGCCATCTTGTAGAGTTAATACACCTTGTAATCTGTGGCCCATAATTATAACGTCTCCAAATATTAGTGCGATCAGTATATAACCCTGGAAATTTATTGTCTTCAAAGAAAAAAAGGTAATGCTATAATAGCATTCATTGCAGAATACGGTCTGAATTGAAGCCTTTTACAATACAACACCTCGCCGTGCTTCATTCCCACCAGGCACATTTCAGACATGTCGGCTTTTCTCGTATAATGGAATACATTGTGGGTATACATATTCAGTATGGTTTGATCAGTACTGTGGTCTGTTCTACTGATAATTGTAATGCGTGCAGTCACATGATCCTCGATCTCCTGATCTGTATTTTATCTTTTCCATTCGTTTTATTCGCTATCATATTTTGACAAAAAATAAAAGTTAGTCTCAGTGTTGATAATACAAAAGAAACATGATAAACATTATTACAGCTAGTTCTCGTTATAGTGAAATCCTCAGATTGAAAAAAAATATTTATTACAGCCTATATCGAAAGAAACTGGTTCTGGACGTAAGGAAAAGTTCCATAACTCTTTATTATTTCCAGAGTTCAAAGAAAGTTGGATTTAATCTAATTTAATAATTCAGTAATTCAAATCTTCATGCCGAATCTTCACTGTGTCGAGAGTTTTGTTCTTCCCGTTATTTAATCTGGAATATATTTTAGAATTCTACAATCTTTTTATTGCTTCATTTGAATTATTGTGTTAATTTGGTTATAAATAAGGTTCATTTGTAAATCAATCTACACCGAAGCTTTCTATAACGAACTTTTTTTTATAATAAGCCCTGACACATAAAGAACTAAAATTTTAAATTATATATATATGTTTAGTTTGGAAAGTATATATTTTGTATATTCTATGATCGATTTCATTTGTATGATTTAATTCAAGATTTACAATACATTTGATCTATTCATGATTAAGTAGTCAAATTTAGAAAAGCAATTAAGAAAGTCCTTTCAAAAAAAAGCAATAGGGGGTTTCAAAGTTAAAATCAGCAAATCTTATTTTATTTTTCCAATTTATAATTCGACATAGTAAAAATGCTATTGAAAAATTCCTATTTATTTTCGAAATACATCATTTATTTGTTAACTTTGAAACCCCCTAATATTTAAAAAAAAGGGGGAATTTATAAAAGCATGAAAAAATAGAAAAAAAAATTTTAACCCAATTTGAATTCTCTAGAGAATTGTAAAGCTGGAACATTATGTAACTATGCCCATGATTGTTTAGCATCACACTAAAAAAATATATTCATTTTTTTTTTTTTTTTAGTGTTAAGGTGACCTCTTTGGCCTGGAAACTCTTTATTAGTAATCATTTGTTATTATAGTTACAACGAAGATACAACTAGCCACATGTGCACTTTTTGAGTGCCTATTTAAGTAGTCTGCCTACAGGTTTTACACTAGATATCATATCTATAACCCAACTAGGGAGTTACTCATTTAAACCTTCTAATTCTAACTATTCTTAAATATATTATACTAACTAGAGAATTACCAATGGCCTGTTTTACTAGATTATACACCCTGCCTTAAGATTTCTTGTGGCTTATCCTGGGTTTGCATCAACTAATTACCAGCTTGTATTTCTCTGTTGAGCAGATGCATAGGCTATTCCCAAGATAAACTTACCAGAGCTTTCTCTATCACATTTGGTTTTGTGCAATTGTCAAGGCTTCCACTTGCAGTTGGGATTATTTCTATTTAATTGCTTTTGCCCTTATAAAGTTTACTCCTAATCCCAGTACTCACATTTAGACTTTTTCTTTTTTTGCTATTTCTTTATTAGTCTATCTCTTACTTCCAACCAGTAACTTGAAAGATTTAACTTTGGGCTTGGTATTAGGTGTCAGTGCTCTCATCTCGTCTTGATACATAATTTTCCAGCATACTGTATGTTCTTTTCTTTCAATTCGGTAGGCTGGTCTTTTGAACACGTCCAACATTTTTCTATTAGTTACCTGACTTCCATAACCTCTAGTCTTGGTAGATAGGACCCTCATCACCAGTTTTTCACACCAGTTGGTCAGGGTTAGTGTACCCTGTAACGCCTCACAGATTTTTAACTTCTTAAATTGGTGGTTGGGTTGGTAAATCCCCTATTAAAGAATCTTGTTGTTATTCGGTTCTCTAATCTTGGTTCTAACTTTTAAATTCAGGTTTTTTCTGTAGTACTGCCGAAAATTGTAACTACTCCTTACTCAGGTCTTCCCAAACAAGTTTCAATCATCCCAGTTTCTTAGCCTTTTATGCACTGAAGCTTCCATATAAATATGATGTTACCGAGATTACAGATTCTAGGACCCAACTAATCGACAGATGATTGTTACTATAATACAAGCTTATTTTTCAAAATTGTCATCTATGAGATTCAAACTTTGAACCTGCCATTTGGTGGGGTGATGACTAGATCACTTCACTAAGTTGCCACATCTCTAAAAATATATTTATTATACAGTACACAATTTTTATATAAAATATATATTACTATACTATACCCTTGAAGTTGAATTCAATATAAATAAATAAAATTAGTCTTTACTATACATATCATATCCTATATAGATTCAAGTCTCAAAGTCAAACCAAAACCTAACTCTCTATTAAATATTTAAACAAGATATTTCTGATATTGTTTATATTCTAGTTTATTTTTATCTTATATAAATTACATTTGAATATTTTTTAATTCATCAAGATTATTTTTTATAAATTCACAATTTTTACATATCTTTGATATATACTTTTTAGTATATTCAATAATCTTGCAACCTCTAAACTCTTTAGACTTATTATATAAGAACAAGTTAGTATTGTATAAGCAATCTTTAACCAAATTTTTTACTTGTTCTTTAAAACTATCCTTGAATTTTAAACTTAGATAAAAGAAAGATTTTATAATTTTAATATAACCAACAGGCCAGTTAATAATAGTACACATTAATAAAATTATAGATTTGTTGTATAATTTATAGTATCTTTTTTTTTAATTAAAATTTCTTTTTTTTTTATTTTTTTAAAGCAGGATCTTTGTTACTCTGCAATCTATTATATTTTTCGAATAACTTGAATATCTTATCAAAATTATTGTTACTTCACTTGATTAATTAACCATTAAAATTATAGCTACTGTAGCTATAAACATATAAACATCTGGATTAAGCAAAATTGCCTATCTTTAAACATTATTTTGGTTGTTAATAATTTTTAAAGAAAAAGATATATAGTATACAGTATAGTGTTTTGAATTAAGCCAACTCAATTAGACTTATCAAAATTAGGTGTTGGCTTAATTTTGGCATAAAAGACTTGCAAGTTAGTAATACAATTTACATAGTATAATTTTCACTATTAATTTATATTATACAATATTTTCTTCTATCTTTGCTATTAATGATTAATAGTGAAGATAGAAAAAAGTATTGTTAATACGTAGTAAAAATTATATTATATAATTTGTACTACTAGCTTACAAGTCTTTTAAGCTAAAATTAAGCCAACTTCTAATTCTATTAAGCCTAATTGAGCTGGCTCAATTTTGAACACTAGATATATACAAATAAAAATAGCTTAACCTATTTATTGTTATATTTACTATATTATTTGTTTTTCTGATATTATTATAGTTTTCAAAAATATATATTCTCTTTTTTTTTTAATTTTAGTTTCTTGCTAGTATTGAGATTGTTTGAGATTGATCTTTTTTTGATTTGTATTTTATTCTAAAATTGTTATTATATAACTTTTTATTCACTTTGTAGACACTTTTTAATTGTCTAATTATATATAATCTTATTTTTTTTGGTATTTATTTTACTTATAATAATTTATTATTTGTAAAACACTTATTATTTAAATAATATTTTTTTATAATATTTATATATTTATACTATTATTTTGTATTATTTTAAGAATATTGTTGTATATTTATCTTATTGTTTTTATTTATTTTTTTATCTTTTCTCTTTTTTATAATATTGAATATAGCCTTATCTTTCAAGTTTTTAATCTCTCTTTATTATTTTTAGTTTTTAGCTAATTTAAACTTATTGTGTCTTGCTATAAAAAAAGTAATAATTAATAATAAGTTCTTGGCAAGCTCACTAGATTTAGTATTATCAATGTTGATATTCAAACCAAGTACTATGATCTTTGTATCATTCTTGCTAAGAACCTATTTAACAAGCTTATATACAAATTTATAGAGTTAATTACTTCTAGTAATTACAACTTCCTTAATATCTTCTTAGTATGATTATTTCAAAATGGATATAAAGCCCTTTGTATTTCTAGTTAAGACCTAATCCAATACCTCTAATAAGCTTATAATCTGAACATATCTGTTTAAGATACTTGTATTGCCTGTCATAATCCTCTTTTTGTTTCTCTAAACTAACTTTTGTATAACAGATCCTTTTCTTTTCATTTATCTTTTTTTGATTTTTAAATATCTTTTCTATATCTGCTACAGAATACAATCTGTTACTACCAGGTGTTCTGATACTTGATATCTTTTTTTTGTTATTCCACCTTTTCAATATTTCTAATAAAATTTCATATGTTTTTCTAATTTCTCTTGCTCTATGAAATTTTGTTGTTGACATTATTTTGCTCAAATATGAAAAGGAACTTATTTATACTTTACAAAAAATATTGAATCATCAACAATGAAGTAATAATGATAATTCAACATTCTTTGTTATTATTAATCAAATAATATAAAATACTTACTATTATTAAAAATAACAATCATAAGATGAATAGCAAAACAATATATTTAATTAATAATATTGTATTGTTTACGAACTGTACAGTTAGCAATGGGAATTTCTAATTATTAACAATTGTTAATAAATTGTTAACTATATAAATCATTTAACAATTAAAAAATTTATATAGTTAATAATTAGTTAATAATTTGTTAACAATTGTCAATAATTAGAAATTCCCATCGCTACGCACAGTACAAGATTTTAACATAATGTATATATCCCGGGGTCATTTGCTAGGAAAATCACTGTCTGAAAGCATTAAATGGGGATTTTCTAGCAAACAACCAATATATTAAAAGTATAAACAGTCCGACGCCTTCCGAGGCAAAGCTCGGCAAAATAATATGTCCAAATCTAATGGTGTAAGCGCAGTGCCGTAGTTTTTTTGAAAAAAAAACTCAATATAATGTGATCCAGTGGTCCAAATTGGATGATCTTGATACCACTCGATTCGTCTCGACGAAACGAATCAAATGGTACCAAAATCATCCAATTTGAATCACTGTATCGCAAGGTATTCGCAAATAATGATTCAATGAATTACGGCAAACGTGCCGTAATTCTGTCGCAATTCGTTAGATAGTTTTTCGAGAATTTATTGCGATCCAGTGATTCGAATTGAATGATTTGGGTACTATTCGATTTGCCACATCAAGACGAATCGAATGATATCAAATTCATTCAATTTGTATTATTGGATCACGATATAATTGAGTTTTTGAAAAAAGTTACGACCAATTACGGCATTGCGCTCACACCACTAATCGCGTCTCTTTCTATGTATAAGACACACCTATTGATTCGATTTTAACATGCATTTTTGATTTTTTTTCTCTTCGGCTGCATCGTGAAAAATGGTTTATCGTGCAGATTGTATATTTTATATTGAACCTAGGCGCGGCAGATCCTCGATTTTTGATTGGCTAATAATGACGATCAAAAAGTTAGGCCGGTATTACTCATAATTTTACTAATGTTCCTGGGCCAATTTTACCATAATGCGGGTAGGGTTGTAAAATTACTGTAATTTTGTGTAATTTTACGTAATTTAGTGTAAGTTTCATGTAATTTTGATATCATGTGAATAATGTAGCCAAAATTTCATTATGCCTGGTGTGCTTTTGAATATTATAAAATTATAGTTCCGAACGTAGTGATGAATCTCTAATAATACTGGCAAAACTTTCATAATGTTGGTGCAATAATCATGTGCCAATCCATTATCAATTTTGTAAGTTACAGTGCAATTTATTTGTAACGTAAATGTAATTTATGTAATTTTCAATCCTAAATGCGGGCTTATTTTTTTAAAATTTAAAAAGTTAATTCCGGCCGGAAATTATGTAATGTGGGCCAAAATTTTGAAATCCTCGGCCGTTAGCCAATCAAAATCGAGGATCTGCCGCGCATTTTTTGTGCGGCACCTAATTTTAAATATCAAATTTATCAAATTTCTTAGATTCGACTCTCTCGCATATCTTTCATCTAGTCATTTTTTCATTTACTATTATTTATCCTTCTTTTATACCAACAAAATGCCACCAAAAAAACAGCAGCAATCAGAAAAATCAAAGCAAAAGGAAAAGCAAAAGATTGTTGAAGATAAAACCTTTGGACTGAAGAATAAGAAAAAGTCTGCAAAGGTTCAGCAACAAATTAAGCAGATTCAAAATCAAGTGATGACTTCAGGAAATAGAAAAGTTCAGGTAAGTTGCCGGGCGCCTTTAATACTGATCGCGACAGATTAAACAAATTATCTACAGTCACTGGATCGCCTTTAAATGAGTAAATCTGCACTTTGTATTAATGTAGAAAGAAAAAGAAGCTGAAAAACAAGCACTCGCTGACAAAAAAGCCGCTGAACAAAAAAAGAAGGAAGAGCTTGCTGAGCTGTTTAAACCGGTTCAAACACAGCAGAAAGTACCGTTTGGTGTAGACCCTAAAACTATTCTTTGTCAATTTTTCAAAGCTGGACAATGTCAAAAAGGTGACAAGTGTAAGTTCTCCCATGATCTAAATGTGGAGAGAAAGGTCCAAAAAATCGATATATATACTGATGCAAGAAATGAAGAAGAAAAAAAGGATGGTACGAAAGACTTATAATTTTATATTATTTATTCGTCGTTCAAGTTCATGTTATATGGATTCTTAATGCACAACAATTCAATTGCATACTAAATGCTGTAATGGTGTTTTCATTTAAGATACAATGGATAAATGGGACCAAAAGAAACTTGAGCAAGTGGTCACATCTAAACATGGAAACCCTAAAACAACCACAGACATAGTATGTAAATACTTTTTGGAGGCCATTGAAAATCAAAAATATGGTTGGTTCTGGGAGTGTCCTAATGGAGGTGAGAAGATTCAAAATTTGTTCGTATTAACATTTTTCATCCTAGTCCACAATATTCATTCAATATTTCTGTTAGTATTAAAGTCAATTATAATAACTCATATTTGCTTAAATAATATAACAGGAAAGAATTGCAAATATAGACATGCTCTTCCGCCTGGATTTATACTAAAGAGCAAAGCGCAAAAGAAAATTGAAGAGGAGGAAGCCAACCAAATAACTCTCGAAGAATTTTTGGAAACAGAGGTTAGTTGCGAATATGTATATAGTCTTTTTATGTACGGTAGATATTTACCTTAACTATCTTTCATCGAACGTCGTGAAGCGCCATAAATTGGGTACAAATCTCACACCTGTCACGTTTGAGAGCTTTGCTGAATGGAAGAAAAATCGCAAAGCTAAGCTTGAAGCTGAACAAGAACTTAAACGTGCTGCAAAAGAAGCTGCTTACAACGCTGGCAAATCACAAGGAATGTCAGGTCGTGATCTATTCACTTTTAATCCTGATCTTGTCAACCAAATTGATGATGATGATGGTGATGAGTTCGATTTGTCTGGATATCAGCGCGATGATGATAATAAAGAGGACGAACAAAATGATGAAAAGTTAATACATGGGCAGCACGATGATAATGATAATATTGCCTGTGGAGAAGACGGAAATAGTGCCGAAAATGATATTTCACATAAAACGGACAATACTTCTTCACTAGTCACTGTGGATGAAGTTGAAGTTAAAGAGGATTTATTTGCGAAAGAGAATTTAGATGATTTAGATGACGATGATGATGAATAAGCCAATATTTGATGTATGGCTTTATTAAAATATTTATATGCGGGAAAGAAATAAAACTAATGCATCGACGAGACATTATTTGGATAGTCTTTATTAAGAATGATTAGTGAATATTCCTTTTTTTTTTGTCACAGGGTTTCTTATGAAAATAGTTAGTGTTGTGTTTGCTTTTAAAAGTGGACATGGATTTTATTATACAGTTATAAATTTGAATATATATATTAATATATCTCAATGTTTAATCAACATATATTATTTTATCACCTATATTTAATTTGCTATAGAATGATTGATGTCGCAGCTGATGCAGAGATTTGGAACTTTACTTAAATCTACTAAACCGACTAAAACAACTTATACTCTTTTATTAATTCTAACCTAGCGAGCTTCATCAAATTTTAACCACAACATAAATTATAAATAAATGTTCGAAAATTATGGGATATGACAGAAAAAAACTACTGTAATTATTAAAAGTTAAAATCATAATAAAAAATTACTCTAAAAATTTAAAAGATCCAAAAAAAACTTTATTATTGTAAAAAAAATTACAGGTAGAAAAAAAATTATCAAAAACTATATACGTATATGAGTGCCGCCAAAGGAAAACCCACAATCGGGCTTTCGATGTTCAGTTTGTTTTCTGTATGCCATCAACAATAATGCTTTCAATTTTATTTTTACAAAATATAATTTAAAGCCCGATGATAGATTTTCCCTAGACGGCACACAGAAAACAAACTGAATATTGAAAGCCGATTGTGGGTTTTCCCTTGGCGGCATTCATATATTATAATTTTAGTTTTGCTTAACAATTAAATAATTAACAGGGTTTTTAAACTTTTTTTTAATATACATATACTGTATAAATATTAAAAAGATAAATTTAGAATTACTAAATGCCAAAGAAGTCATCTTAACATTAACAAAAAAAGAAATTACTAAATAAATGAATTTTAATAGTATACAGTAATGTTTTTAATTATTATTAGAAAATTACTATATATCACCAGTAGTGATCATCACCAGTCCTAAGAATTTCTAGGGTTAGGGTTAGGAATTAGAGAAGATTTTTTTTATATAATATAATATAAATTGAATATAAGATTTCGATTTTAGTTTTCATGAGGTTTTTAGAGGTCCTGAACATTTTTATTTAGAATACCTGATCCTGTTTACTTAGTACATTATTGAGATATAGCAACACTGGGCTGGTGATGATTACTAGTAGTGATAAATAGCAAACTTATTATTCAATAAAGTAAATATAAAAAATAATTTTAGATATGGGACTTATGTTCTTTAGTATTTAATGATTTTTTAACAAAAGTTATAAACCTAAATACCAAATAGTTTTAAAAGAATCTTGCTTTAAAGTTGGTATATTTTTTGTCTTTACAATCTCTGTAAAATTAAAGTAATAATATGATTGGCTAAAGCAATCTTTTAAAAATTAAAGAAAGTTCTACTAAGTAAAGATCTTTTCTAGTCTTAGAAAAACTTGTAGAAGAGGTTTTTAGAATCCCAAAGTAGTTAAATTATCCAAATTGGCTTGGTAGATCCCAAGATACTTGGGGTTAAAGGCGTGAATATAGAGATCTGCAAAGTAGTGTTTTGAACTATCAACCAAAAGTTTAACCAGGGCTGATCTGGGTAGACTTCTGGGTATTCCTAGCCAATCGCTGATGTTTGTTTATATCAGGTAAAATAGGATTAACTATATTCTATTTTACCCAATGTAAACAAACATTAGCGATTGGCTAGGAATACCCGGAAGTCTATCTGGATCAGCCCCAGTTGAACTTTCAGTTGACGGTTCAAAACACTACTGCAAAGTCACTATTATACAAAGGACAATCGTCTATTAGACGATTATCTTTTGTATAACAGTGACCTTGCAGATACCTAAATTTGCATCTTTAACCCCAAGTATTTTGAGATCCACTAAGTTGATTTAGATGATTTTCTAAGGCTAGAAGAAATCTTTACTTAGTAAAACTTTCTTTAATTTTCAAAAGATTGCTTTAGCCAATCATATTATTACTTTAAATAAGTTAGTTATTTAACTTAAAGAATATAGAGAAGAATTGAACAACTTTAGCTTAAGATCCTTTTAAAACTACTTAATATATAGCTTTATAATTTTTATAAAAAAAGCATCAAATAAAGATTAGAATTCTGCAGCCTAGTGGTCTAGACACCCAATCCTTCATGAGTAAATTTTGGGTTCAAGTCCTAGTAAATACAGATTCTATGAATATTTGAATATACTCATATGTAGAAAGTCCAAGTAAGTACAAGTTTGGATTAGAAATTTCCAAAAAGAGGTCCATTGTAGAGAGTTAACACTACATATAATAGCAATTATTACAAAAGATTCTATAATACAATGGTTATGCATATAAATCCTCAATTAGCATAGATAGCACCAACAACCCTAAAGCAGCATTGGGGATTTTGATTGGGAGGATGACTGGGTGGTTACTAGAATTGGAGTAGTGAGAAAAGTGATGAAACACAAAAAAACCTGTGGTAAAGAATTGGCCTTACCAAATTTAGAACACCTCTGGCACTGTATGGATCTCTCTAGCCAATAAGAAGTTAAAGCATAAAGGCGTGTATGTATAAATAGACTTAACAGGCAATAGTCATATCTGTATAGGAGTATTTGGACATTAAGAGGACTCAGGATCTACCAATATCAAAATAGCTAATATAAGTGCATGCAGTAGTAACTGGGGGCTACAATTGCTAAGAATTACTATAAATAGAAAACGATGATACACCTATTAAGAATTTCTAGGCCTCATGATGCCACCTAACTATACTTGGTACTGGAATTATATATGAAATATGCCTAAACTCCTCATTACTATATTGAAAAGTATAGTCATTTGTATATTACCAAATTCACAATATTAAGACCTGGGTTTCAAAATTGCAGGAAATCTAGCTAGTTACAGCAGCATATAGGTTTAAGATATTTATCCAATTAGGTAAAGACAGCTGCATGGCTTGAGATATGAACTCCTACAAAGTATACCAATAGGGATTAAGAAAATTCTCTGTTAGATACACCAAACTGGAAGCAAAAAGCACCTATTTGGAGAATATACACCAATTTGAGAGTTAAGATAGTAGGTTATATGGGTAATGTGGCGGACATGTGAATACTAATTAGCAATTAAGAAAGGAAGTACAAAAACCAGGTCAATCACATATGTGGGAGTGTGATAGCTCTGGTAGGTTTTAGCTATAGATAAATAGTTTGTATACCTAAAGTTCTAGTCTTAATACTAATATGTAATATATATATATTTACAGCATCACTATATGTTAATTCACTTAAGTATTAATAAAAGTTTGGGGTGGATACTACACTCAGATATTTCTCTAAATATTAAAAAAAAAAAAAAAAGTATCAAATACTAAAGAATATAAGTCTTATATTTAATATTATATTTTATATTTATTTTTTTGAGTAAATTAAAGAAATGTATTTTTTTTGCCAAATTTTATATATAAATTTAGATAAGTTAACTTATTTAATTTATATTAAACAATAACTAAAGAAATATGTCTTATATCTGTTGTATATGCAGAACACATATAATATATTTAAACTAAAATATTTAAATACAGTATCATTTGGTTGCTTCTCGAGTATCTATATGCAATCTGTTGCACTGCACTAATACATAGAACAAAAGATATTGTTAGCCCTATCCAAAAGCCAAAACTTAATTTTTTTTTATCTAGATCTTGGCAGAAAGGCTTCGGCAAGCCTATTTCTCTATTAATAAAACTAAAAAAAAACAAAAAAGAAAATAAAACAATATTACAAAAAAGAAAAAATAAGAGAAACAATTGAAAAAAAGGATAATTATAAAAGAGAGAAAAATCAAAAATCTAAATATAAGACTTTAAAATAACTACCGTATTTTCACATAATAATGCTCACCTGTGCGTTATTTTGAGTATATGCGTATTATTTCGAGTACGCGCATGAGCATTATTTTGAAACAATTAAAAAATTTTATATAATTCTTGTATAAAAATAAACAACTAGATTTAGTACTAAGTAATCTTCCTTCGTGCTTTAACAAAAGTTTTGAAAAACAACTTAGTTGAAGTTTGAAGGTTTACTTAGTACTAAATCCAGTTCCGAAATATTTTTAAATCTTACTATAAATAAACATTCCTTACTATGGGGTGCGCGCTATTTTGGGATGCGCATGAGCGTTATTTCAAAACTATATATATTAATTTTAGGAGGCATGATTTTCGAAATAACGCTTATGAGTGTTATTACGCAAAAATATGGTATATAAGAAAAAGATAAAAAAAAACAAGTAAGATTCAGATAAAGCTAAACAATGTAATAAAAAAAGAATAAAAGAAAATACACTATTGTAACTTGTACAAATTATATAACAAATATAATATCTATATATCTCTACTGTAAGACTTTGTCTTAACATATTAGTTTTTTTCTGACTATATGATCAAATTTGAATAAATTTTTAACCAAGAACTAGTTAATAGGCCTTGTTATATGAAGTAGTAACGTGTTTGTTACTAAACAAAACACATAGTTGCAATCTACCAGATCAATCAAATTTGAAAGAAGTAAACAATACTGATTTTTTAACAGGGATAAGCTATTTTGCCTACTTTTTTTGAAAATTTTGTTGTAGATACAAGTAGGTAATAGTAAAAAGAATAGAACCTTGTACTTTTTTTAAGAGAGAGTATATATTTCTTCAAAAATAGTAAAACAAGTAAGTCTAAGCACACTGCTAATATTCTTTTCAGTAAATAATAAACTCTGAACTTGTTAGCAAGTGGTATATAAAAACTACTTCTAAATAACAAGTGCTTTCCTTATAGTAAGTAATAAGCTCTAAACTAGTTGATCTTTAGTATAAATAGACAATATAGAAATAATATAAGATTATAATATATAAAAATAGCTCTTTGAACTAATCTAAACAAATTTA